GGGCCTTTTTTTTTTTTTTTTTTTTTTTTTTTTTTTTTTTCCGAGAACTCTCGATCGGTGTTAAAACAGGATTAGGTGTTGCAGAGATTTCATCTTTGCCGATCGTTTCCTTCAGCGATGGCTGCTTCATCGGAGTCCAAGGAGTCATTAGGGAACAACCCAGGTCTCACTTCGGCGAAGGACGACGCCACCAAGGAGTATTTCTTGCAGCAAACTGTACGCCGGATACTCAAATGTCTATTTCTTCTGCACTGATTGATATTCGATATTCTTATGATTTCGTTCAGATAATCTCAATTGTTTATTTTGGTTTTTCGTTTTGTCGTCTGAATCTTATAGTTGTTTGCGTAACAAGTGTTTGTCTGAATTGCGTTGATTCCAACAGTCAGCCATTTATTCGTCTTTTTTCATTCCTCCAATGTTTATTATTAAGGGGAAAAAAGTGCTGATGTTAAGTCTCAACTGTTGGAAAAGTGGACGATATTACTGATGCGGATGTTAAAGAGCTAGAACAGTAAGAGAAAGTGAGCAGTACTGTCCTGTCTGAATTCGGATTCTTCAAATTATGGCCTGTGTGTAGAGAATACCCTACAATTGCATGGAATGACCAGCAAATTACCGGCATAATAAAGCTCTTGTTGAAAAATATAAGGAGGCTTCTAGGTAAACCTAGCATAATTAGTACCAGTGGATGACCTGAGATCACAAAATGTTATAAAGAGCTTCCAAAGCGTTTGACAATGGGGATAACCAGTTAAACAAATGATTGTTGTTTCTGTAACTAATGTCATTCTATCAAACATCAACCATGTACTACCTTTCTCCTTCATTTTTTTATTCTGCTTTTTTATTTCTTGTTATTGGCAGGTGAAACTGTGCTGTCATTTTGCTTGGTCAATTTGCTTATTGATTTAGCTTTTCTTGATGCTGCTTCTGGACTTTTTGATCAACCTCTAACTTTCAGCCTCCTGGGTAATTTACTGTCAATTTTGATGTGCAGATGCTTCGAGTTAAGGATCCTAAAGCCAGCCTTGATTTCTATTCACGTGTGCTGGGAATGTCGTAAGTTTTCTTTCAAAAATGTTTATAAACAATTTAAATTAATATTCGGTTAAGATTTTAGTATCTATGGCCAATGGATGGATCAATACGAAGTCAACTTTTTTTTCTTTATTGTCCTAATGCTGTTACTTCCCCATAAGTTTTTTTTAGTTCTTAATGGCTTTGGTTATTCATGGATGTTGGAATTGAGTCAAATAGTGGTGGAAATATCTTCATTTACTAAGGTTAATTTGAAAGATTATAAGCCTGGGCAAGCCCATCTCTCCCCCGCACATGGATACTGTTATAATTGAGCATTTGGATCGTAGCCATTGAAATACATTATGATGCCAAAATTGAAAGTTATTTCATACGGAAAAAAAAACTTGTTTTTTTATCATGCTATAAAATTTAATTTGGTGGGAACCTTCATCCACATAAAATACTAGGCTTTTGTTGCTTTCTTTAGCGTTGCTCAACTGATTAGCGCGTTTGAATGTTATAGAAAATCTGTTCCACAAGTGCTTTTTAAAATATTTTTGGGAAATTTACATACAGACCACACAATTCTTATGTGTTTACATATCTAACACCCAAAGTTTGATATTTACACTTATAACATCTTGATGCCATAAACCTATGCATGATAAGCTGTATTTCATTTTCTTAAAATAGTAGCGATGGTGGTATTTTTTATGTGATGTTAAAAAATTGAGTGGTATACATGCAAATATGAATGTTTAGGTGTTAGATATGTACGTACATAAGTATTGTATGGTATGTAAATGCCCCAATATTTTTTTTATGACACTAATGCTGCTGCCATAATTTTTCTTAACCATTCTAAAATATCTATCAGCTTGCTTAAGAGGTTGGATTTTTTAGAAATGAAGTTCAGTCTCTATTTCTTGGGTTACGAGGTAATCCTTATGATAAATGTTTCGTTGTCTTGTTTAAGAAATTCATCTGTGACTTGTGTATTATTTATCATGACGTGTAGGATACTACATCAGCACCAGCTGATCCAAAGCAGAGGACAGTTTGGACTTTTGGCCAAAAAGCTACGCTTGAGTTAACTCAGTAAGAGAGAAATATTTGTTTCTTTTGCCATTACCTTTTTCATTTTTAGCTTTTTGCTTTTATAGTTGTTCTTGATACCGGAGTTTACCCAAACCACAACTCGGATACGACAAATTTTATTGCAGAATTTAAGAAAGAGTACAATGATGAATTCTCACAAAAATAATGCATAAATGGTAAACAACATAAAACATAAACAACGATTGAAATAACACAAGTGATAAAAGAAATAACAAAGTAGAATTTAACTAAGCATGAAACAGAAAACAACCTCGTAAGGTGGGGGATCCGGTGAGGCAACAAAGGGTGGAGGCTGATGACCCGCTGAAAGGAGGCGAAGGGGGCTAGGTCGACTCGGTGGATGCTAGGAGGGTGCAGGAAGCGGCGGATGCGTGGCGGAGAGGTTCCATTGAGGTGGAGCGACCTACTGGAGAAGTTGATAGGGAGCTTGGCGGGTGGGGATGTGTAGTAAGGAGAGTTGGAGGTCGCTGGAGGGACCCTGGAAGGCTGATGCCTAGCTAGTGGACGTGGGGAGGAGTATCAGGACAGTGGCTACGGTGGGGGAATGGCGAAACTCGCAGCGGGGAGGTGATTGGCAGACAAATGGGTGGAGGAGTGGCGTTGGAAGGATGCCGACAACAAAGTAGGATGGGGGAGGTAGTCACCACCTCAGGCGGGGTACAACCGAAGCACCACCTGCCGTCGGGTACAACCCTCAGAAGAGGGAACACGGTGAAGTAAGACCCGGAAGCTGAAATCACAAAGAAAATCCACTGGTTAGACCTGAGAAAAATTGTGCATAAATAGGGAAGAAGGGTGACAACTTAGGAAGGATGGAGGAGAAGAAATGGAAGGGATTTGAAGACACTGCAGTAGATTAGGGCAGGGGGGAAGGCGAGCGAGGCGCGATACTCGGGATGGAGAGCGAACAGGTGGAACTAAATCGAGGCTTTTAATACCTTGGACCTGTCCAATCTAGCAAGGGAGGCTGGATCGGTGCAAAGCCACGCCCAGTCGACGGGCATGGATTGGATAGCTCTGCGTCAATCCCCCGGGTTTGGGGGAATTTCAACTTCTTTTTTTGAAGCTTCTGGTTTCTCGTAGTATGGAGTGAGATCCGCGACATTAAATGTTGTTGAAATTTTGGAGTACCTTGGCATGTCAATTTTTTACGCGTTGTCGTTTAATTGTAAAAATGCAGAAAGGTTTGTTGGCTCTAGGCTTTAGTTTGTTGTAAACTTCTATAGGAAATAATTCTTTCTTTTGACGAATCCATATGAGGTCACCTTCTTGAAATATTACCTTTTTTGTCGGACTTGTTTGCTTGAGATTGATATTTGTATTTTTGCTTAGAAACTGCTTCCCCAACTTTGTTTTGGAGTTGTTGAATTTGATAAGCATGTTCTGTGGAATCCTCGCTGAGATCTGTTGGGGGAAGAATTAAAGCAACTCAAGGGGTGTGATCGGGTTGCTGTCGTACACAATTTCGAATGATGTTTGTCTTGTGTTATGGCTTGTTGATGTATTGAGAGCGAGATCCTATTGTTTGATGTTTTTCCTAATGAAGCAATGAAGAAGATTCCCAAAGCTTCTATTAACGACTTCGGTCTGCCCATCTGTCAGAGGATGTACTGCGAAACTAAATTGGAGTTTAGTGTCTAACTTGCTCCAGAGGGTCCGCCAGAAGTGGCTCAATAATTTAACGTCCCGATCGGAAGTAATGGTTCTGGTAATGTCGTGAAGCCGAATGATCTCGCGGATGTTCAAATCGGCAATATGAGATACTTCTAATGTCCAGTGGCAGATGATGAAATGCGCCATCTTCAAGAAGCGATCAACTACTACCATGACAAAATCCTTATTTCTTTGTGTTTCGTGAAAGTCCTAAGACACAATCCATGTTGATATCAACCCAAGGTGCTTCAGGGACTGGTAAAGGTGTGTGCAATCCTGTATTGAAGCCCCATGTTTTGAAGATATGACAAATCTTATGTTGTCGGACGTGTCGCTCTACATCTCGTGTTAGTCGAGGCCAAAAAAAATTTCTTTCACGAGTGCAAGAGTTTTATCTCTGCCAAAATAGTTGGTCAATCCGTCACTGTGGTTCTTCTGGATGATAGGTTCTCGTAGTGAGCATCGAGGAATGCATAATTTGTTTTGGCAGAACAAGTAGTTGTCCATTTTATAGAACTACCTGTGAGATTTCTCCCGCCGCTGTGGTTCTCTTGACGCGATTCTGATTTCCGGCTTTGTGTTTGACTGCAAACCAAAAGAACACTAAGAATTCTACCTAGATACCGTAGCAACATTTGATTTTGTTTTGACTGTTTAAAATTTTAAAGCTTCATAGTCTGTGAAGGGGGTGAACTCGGTTGTGCGTAGGTAATGATTCAAGTGTTCTAGAGCTCTAACAATGACATAAAATTCATTGTTGTTTAGTCTCATTTAGTTTTTCGCTCAAATAGACTATGAGGTGACTACCTTGACTTAGTTCAAAGTGGATGCCTACGCTAGAAGCGTCACACTTAACCTCGAATAGTTGGTTGAAATCAGGTAAGACAAGAATTCAAGCTTGAGTGACCTTTTCCTTCAAGTGGTCACCGTCCATGTGAATTCTTTTCTTTTCAACAACTCTGTGAGGGGGGCAGTGATAGTGCTGAAATTGCAAACAAATCTTCGGTAGAAGGGGACTAGCCCCAAAAATTGTCGAAGCTCGGTTAAAGGTTGCAGCTTGGTCCAGCTTACGATTGCCTCGATTTTTTTTTGGGTCTATTTGTATCCCCGTGCCATTCACAATGCAACCCAAAAACAGATTTGGTTTCAGGAAGTGACTCTTCTTGGGATGGGCGTTCAGTTATTCGGATCGTAAGACCTTGAATACCGCTTGTAGGTGTTGTTGGTGGTCTTTTTCGGATATACTATAAATCAAGATATCATCGAAGTAGACCATGATAAATTTCCCAATATGAGCTCAAAAGACTTGATTCATTAGGCGCTTGAATGTGTTGAGTGCGTTTGACATCTCGAAAGACATGATTGTCCATTCATGAAGGTCATCTCGTGCCTTGAAAGCGGTTTTCCACTCGTATTCCGATCACATTTTGACATGGTGATAACTACTCCGTAAGTAATTTTTTTAGAAGACGATGACGACGTACAACTGATCTAAAAGATCGTCAAGTCATGGTATGAGAAAGTGATATTTGATTGTAATTTTGTTGATGACACGACTGTCAATGCACACCCGCTAAGGGCCGTCTTTCTTAGGTACGATGAGGGCGAGGATAGCACATGATCTGGTGCTTTCGCATACTAATCCTCTCTTAACAATATCTTGCACCTGATGTTGGAGTTCCTCGTACTCTGTGGGTCACAATCGATTGGAGGGTCTGTTTGGTAGGACTGATCCTGGTATGAGGTCAATAGCATGTTGAATGTCCCGTAGTGGAGGCAATCCTCCTAAGAGATCGTCGGTCATGACTTCTTGGAAATTGTGTAGGAGCTGTTTAAGTTGTGTGCATATTTAATTTTTCTGGCCGCTATCTTCTAGGACCAGAGATAGTGTGATCGGCGCATCACAAGCTAATTGCAGGATGGTGGTCTATGAGATTAATGCGTTTTCGGTGTTGCTCGTGGTCGATGCATTTTTACAGGCAATAACATGATGCATTTTCCATACTTCTTGAATGTATAGGTTTTTTTGAAGCCGTGTTGTGTTTTCCGGTCGAGTTGTCATGGTCTCCCCAGAAGGATGTGACAAGTGTCCATTGGGACGACATCACACCAAACTTGTTCTTGTAATTCATTGCCGACGGAGAATTCGACTTACCGTTGTCGATCGCTTTGAATCTCATTCCCTTTTCTTAGTCAGGTGAAAGAGTAGGATTGCGGATGTTTTTGTGTGGCAAATTCTAACTTCTTGACTATTAGAGTGGATACGACATTTTTGCAACTACTGCCATCAATGATTAAATTGTAGATTTTGCCTTGGACCGTGCATGTAGTACGAAAGATGTCGTGTCGTAGCCATGGAGGGCGTGTTTTGGGTTTTGACTTGAGGAACCTTCATATCACCAATAGTTCGCCTTCGTTGTCGGGGAGGGGAAGTGCTTCTTCCGAATCATCCTTAGATTGAGCTTCCTCTATTTTCTCGACTTTTTTCGACGACGCCTTCTTCAGTAAAAGAGACAACGTGGGTGGTGGGGCAATTGGCAACCATGTGGTTGTACCCATGGCATCAGAAACATTTTTGTGCAGGAACTGTCTCCGAGGAACTTCCCCGTTCGGGCTTGCTCGGTGTGGTTTTCTTGCTTTTTTGTAGTGACTTGCTAGCTTCTGACGTGACCTTGGGGGTTAGATGTGGTTTAAGGTGATGGTTTAAATGTCCATTGCTATCGGAAGGTGTATTGAAATTTGGTTTGCTTCTATTGCTAGATGTGGTTTAAGGTGATGGTTTAAATGTCCATTCCTAACGGAAGGTGTATTGAAATTTGGTTTGCTTCTATTGTCGTTCTACTTTTAATGCGAGAGTTTGAATATCGTTTAGCGTTCAGTAAGGCTGGAGTTGTACAATGTTGCTAATGCCAACCCCTCGAGATAGCGGGTTTTTGTATTCTCCTCTTGTTCTACCAGACCACACTTCATCTGTGGATGATCGAATTGTGCGGTGAATTCCTCGACCGATTGTTCATGCTGTTGTAGGTTGTGGAGTTAGAGGAACATTTCCTAGCGATAATGGGTTGAAGGCATTTCTTTTTCATTGTCTTCATTTTAGCCCACTTAGTAATATTGTCATCCTCGTTGTGTTATCGTTGTCGTTGCAAGTTGTCCTACCATAATGACACACTTTTCTTTATTTTGAAATCGGCAAGCTTAATCCGTTGTCCTTGAGCACCTCCTTAAAATCAAAGATGCGTTCGATTGCTTGCAACTAGTCGATGAAGTCATCGAGGTCCGTGCTTCTGTCGAATTCTGGTTGGTCCTTTTTGATGCCGAAATCCTGATGGCTGTCGAACGTGGGTTCTTCGCACAGTCTCCTGTGATAGTGAATGCCAAAGCGGCATGAGTGATATTCATCATCGCTGACATCATCGCAGTGTAACAGATTTAAGTCATCTTCGTGGTCTTCTCGTCGACTCTCGATGTCATGTTCGCGAGTAACATTTCCTTGAGTCTCATCATCCATCTTGGCCAATCATTGTTGTATGCGACGAATCTCTCGTTGTATTTCTTCTCGGGTTGGGTCTGGCGCATATCGACGAGGCGACATGATTGGAAGTGAAATGGAAGGAGGAGAATACTAGAATTGAAGGAGAAAAGGAAAGAGAAAAATAAGAGAAGAAAATTTTTGAGTGGCTTGTGTAGGGGCAGAGGAAGCTTGGAACCCTAGAATAGGACTAGGGTTTGGCTAATTTTGATTCTAAATGATACTGGAGTTAACCCAAACCATGACTCGGACACGACAAATTTTATCGCAGAATTAAGAGTACAATGCTGAATTTTCACAACAATAACGCATGAGCGGTAAACAACATAAAACATAAACAACGATTGAAATAACACATAAGTGGCCAAAAAAAATAGCAAAGCAGAATTTAACTAAGCATGAAATAGAAAACAACCGTGTAAGGTGGCATATCCGGCGAGGCAACTAGGGGTGGATGTTGATGACCCGATGAAGGGTAGCAGCGGCGGAGAGGCTCCGGGGAGGTAGTCATCACTTGAAAACACAAAGAAAATCAACTGGTTGGACCTGAGAAAGAACACGTATAAATAGGGAAGAAGGTGGCAGCCTAGGAAGGAAGGAGGAGAAGAAATGGAAGGGATTTGAAGAGGCGAGCAATGACTAGGAGGTGTTGTGGAAGATTAGGGAATGAGGGGGGAGGTGAGCGGGGCGCGAGACTTAAGATATAGAACAAGCAAGCGGAGTTGAATTGGGGCTCTTAATACCTTGGACCGGTTCGATCCACCAAGGGAGGTTGGACCTGCGCAAAGCCACACCCAGTTGACGGGCGCGAACTGGATAGCACCGCATCAAATCTTTTTTTTTTTTTTTGTTTGTGGCTAGTGTAAGAGGCATTGGTGTTTAAGAGGGTGGTTGTGTTATGATGACACATCACTTGGTGCCTCCTTTTTTATGTTGAAATATTTTGTTACTTTTTAGATGTTTGTTGGATGCTGGGATACATTTTGGGTAAATTTTCGCACGAACTATACCTCTAACTTGGTTAAATGCTAATTTTTTTTTCCTTTTCCCCCAATTATTTTTTCTCTCTCAATTCTGCTTATGGCTGTCATTTTATGCTACTCCTATGCCTGGGACTTTTGAGTATGATGTCATATACTATGTTGTTTCCCATATTTTTCAAGATCTTTTCGTGGCATCTGGTGGTATTCTATATTTTTCAAGCTTTTGCATCGCGTGGTTGTGTTTTTGTGTCACTCTTCCTACTTCATGGCCCCTCATAGTATTGTTGACCTTTTATTTTCCATACTTCCAGTAATTGGGGCACGGAAAGTGATCCTGAATTCAAGGGCTACCATAATGGAAATTCTGAACCTCGAGGTTTTGGTAAGTTCCCTTTTGATTTATAGAAATTTACATCTAACATACTTGTTCTATGGAAACTGAACATAGAAATTCTTATACTGATTACAGGCCATATAGGTATCACCGTTGATGATGTCTACAAGGCATGTGAACGATTTGAAAATCTAGGGGTGGAGTTTGTGAAGAAACCTGATGATGGTATCACTTTTTAGTGATTACAGTAAATATTTTATTTGCATTGTTTGGTTTTTTTTTTGGGTCTAATCAAAGTAAGTATATTTTCCCCAAGTTTGATCACATTTCTCGCAAAAAATTCTATCATCCTCATTTGGGTGCTAACTAGTTTAGCTAGGGTCTTGAAAGTTCTTGGCGTGGTTTTGAGTTCAATATTTACCTAAATCATACCAAATTCCTACCTCAATGATTTTTAGGTTGGCAAAACAGCTAGGGCGGGGGTGTGAGGAATTCTATATAGTTAGGGTTTAGAGCATTTAGATGATTGATATTGTTGTTTTTGTGCTTTTATGAAAGATGCCTTTCATATAAATAAAGATCAATTTTTGGTTCTGACTCACTAATAGTTGGGATGATTCAAACATTGATCTACAAGGCTATTAATCTTGCTGGGATAGATTCGAAAATATAAATTGATGAGGCATTTAGTTGCAGTTGTAATTTTTAATTTAAATTAAGTCAAGAATGTTGTAATGACAGAGGAGAAAGAAAATTAGTTGAAGCGAATTAAAAAAATTATCCTAGATTTTTCTCCACAAAATTTTGCATAACCTACAGGGCCTTTTAGGGAAGGAATCTAGAAGTAGTTAGCTTATTTTAAGGGCTTGAATGGATGCATGGAGTTTAGGATAAAGATTTTGAGATTTTTGCATTCAGTAAAAATTATGGATAAAGCATGAATGAACTCATATTTTTGGAAACTCTAGGATTTAACAATTAAATTTGAAACAATTGAATTATTTTTTTTCCCAATACTTCAAGAAAGATGCTTAATCTGGTGTACTTGGTATCAGAGCATTAGTTACAACAACAACAAAGCCTTAATCCCACCGTGTGGGGTCAGCTACATGAATCCTTTTTCTCCATTGCATCATATTTAGTGTCATATTTTCATTTAGTTCTAATAAATTAAGGTATTTTTTCCCAAGTCTTCCTAGGTCCACCTCTGCCTTTCTTAACATAAGTTGAATCTAAAACATCTACTCTGATAATCGGATCATCAGTCATCAGACGTTTAATGTGACCAAACCATCTAAGACTGCTCTCTGTAATTTTGTCCGTCACTGGAGCTACACTAACCCTAACACGGATATATTGATTTCACATTTTGTCTCTAAGTGTAAAGCCACCCATCCACTTAATCATTTTCATCTCGGTAACACTTAACTTAGTAAGTATTATGCTTCTCTTTTAAAGGCCAACATTCCCTAGAGCATTGTGCAGCATTGCAAGTCTCACCACCGTCTTATAAAAAATTCCTTTCAGTCTACGCGGTACTTTTCTATCACACAAAAGGCTCGAAGTGCCCGTAGTATTCTTCCACTTCAACCAACCAATTTGAATTCTACTATTAACATCCCCATCAATATCACCATCGCTTTGAACAACGGGCCCGAAATATCTAAACCGTTTACGCTTTTTAATAATTTGATCACCCAAAGTTACACTTCTGTCACTAGAGCTACTACTACTAAAATTACATTCCATGTACCCAGTTTTAGTTCTACGCAAATGAAGGCCTTTAGACTCTAATGTAGACCTCCATAATTCAAGTTTTTCTTGGGCTTTTTCTCTCGTCTTATCCACGAGAAGGATTTCATCAGCAAAAAGCATACACCAAGGTACATCCTTCTGTAAATGTCCAGTAAGACCATCCATAACTAAAGCAAAAAGATATGGGCTTATAGCCGATCCTGATGTAATCCAACAGAAATAGGAAAATATTTGGTCAATCCTCCTTCAGTTCGAACACAAGTAACAACTCTAGTATACATATATTTAATGACTTGAATATACCTTTCTTCTCAAGAACTCTCCAAAGGATATCCATTGGAACGTTATCATAAGCTTTTTCTAAATAAAAAAAAAGCAAATGTAGATCCTGCGTATTACGTCTGAACTTCTCCATCAAACCTTTCAATAAATGTATAGCTTCCATTTTAGACCTGCCTAGCATAAATCCAAATTGATTATGAGAAATGTTTGCAATACGTCTTAATTTATGTTCAATTACCCTCTCCCATAACTTTTAAGTACGACACATCAACTTAATTTCTCGATAATTTGCACACTCTTGTGCATACCCTTTATTCTTAAAACTGGGGACCGAAATAATCTTCGTCCACTTCTCAGACACCTTTTTAGTTTTTAAAATAATATTAAAGAGTTTACTCAACCAAGAAACTCCCAACTCTCCTAAAAATTTCCACACTTCAATTGGGATATCATCAAGAAATAGAAAATTGTTTTTGCGGCTAAATTCAGGATTAAGAAGGATACTCTGATGATTCTTTGGAATGTGAGAACTATGTCTATGAGGAGATATTGCGGACAATTGATGAAGTTTTTTTTTAGTGCGAATGAAAGGACCAGGATGACGGATTAGTTGGCTAAAATGAAGGACCAAATGGCTAATTAGATGGTTGATTAGGTGATTATAATAATAGTTGCTTTTGAAACTATTGCTACTAAGGTGACTCCATCTCTACCTTTCAGACAAATGGAGAAGCTTCCGAGAGAAAAACAATAAACTATAAAGAGGAATTTATTTGCAGGAGAGAAGCTGAAAGTTATACAAAAAGGAGAAAATAAGAAGATCCTCCCATTAAAGTTGAAGCAAAATTGGAGTAATCTTACTTCAATGCGGCAATTAAAGCAGATATTGTAGATAATTAGTTTGAGCTTTTTGGAACCTATCATTGTATAAAATTATTTGCATAGAAAAATATTGCATTGTCTCTTTTGAAGTTCTTACATGCTTTAGTATGGTGAAATTTATAATCGAACTCTGATATGTCAATCTTGATACGGCTAGAGTTTAAAATATTTTTCAAATCTTAATTCTACACCATTTGATACAAAGAAGATAAGCCTGAGGGCTAAATTTGAAGCAGGATGATGGTCAAACTATCCAAGAATATCTAGGCATCTGCTCTAGAAATTTAGTTGAATGAAAAAATCTTAGTAATGAAGTTTATAATCATGAAAGTATCCGCAAAGAATTGAAGCGTTTTGCAATTATTGATGCACTTTAACCTAGTTCAAAGTTGTAACACTTTAGGAAGAAACGACTCTCTTTTCATCGATAGAAATTTCAGATTGCAACTATAAAAAAAGGAGAAGGCTAGTGATTCAACTGCTAAGGAACATCACAATAAACTGTTCTTTTGCTTCTACAAAAATGTCTGGGCATAAGCTCAAGTGCTATTAGAAGTTATATCCAAGAAAAAAACTGAAATCAAAGGATAAGAAAGATCATTATTACCACTTTTTAAGAAGTAATTGAAATAAGAGTGAGAAAGGAAAATCCTGCTTTCTTTTTGATGTTATATGCACTTGCCAATAAAGAACTTAGGGATAAACATTCCACTTCAAACATGAGGTAAATTCTACTTTTATAATGCTATTTTTTTATTAGGTAGTGAAAATAATCTTTGTTTTAAAGCTCTAGTTGATAAGCTTGGGCTAGTCACTACCAAGTATTCAATACCCTATAGCTCTAATTTGCTTCCAAAAGTGTTATGTTTGTTAGGTCATTAAGCATTGTAAACTTACTTTTGCTCTCATTAGAAATTTCATTGATGAGGTAGTTCCTGAAGTGATGTCATTAGCCCAAGTTATCTTGGTTCTTGGTCACTATGTACCATACTCTTAGTTTTGCTCTTTAGAAATTTCATTGTTGAGGTAGTTTGTGAATTGATATCATTGTCCCAAGAATTGAATGCCTTACTCTAAGTTGGTTCCAAAAGAGTTTTTTTTTTGTCAAATTGATTTTTTACTACTATACATGATTAATTGCTTTTAGGCCCATTCTATTTTGGCCAAATTTTAGATATCAATTTTATTTTTGATATAATAAAAAAAAGAGTAATCTCATCTTCATTTTAAATAATATAAATATGAAATCTTTTTTTCCTCACTCTAGGTTGTTTCTTTATAAATAAGGCTAATTGATGGAACTTTTGGATATATTATTGATGAATGAAATTTTGTGAGGGCAATCAAATTATTTTTCCTTAATTCAATTTTTATATATAGGTAGGTCCAAGTTGTGCATGTAAAGTTATTGCTAGAAATTATATTAGGAAATAATTTATTCATGTGAGAAGCTATGAGGAATAAATTATTTCCGTGGATTGGATTTACATCCTTTCTTTTTTTATACTATTTCTTTTAAAATAATTAATATGAATTGTGAATTGATTAATTGGATATATTTGGAGTTCATGTTATTTCTTTATTATTGTGAGAAGTTATAGGGAATAAATTATTTTCGTGGATTGGATTTATATCCTTTTCTATTTTATGATGTTTCTCTTATCTTCAAAATAATTAATATGAATTAATTAATTGGATATATTTGGAGTTCATGTTATTTCTTTTTTATTGTCTTTCCTATTTTATGATTCGTGTAAGGTGTATTTATATCCCCTTTTATATCAATAAAAAAATTTCCGCATTATTCTGAATTTCAATATGATATCAAAGTCTAATTTCGTATCCTAGCCATCGGTCCTCCTTCTAGAACCGCCGTACTCCCTTCCTGCCATCCTCCGTGTGGGAAGGGAAGACACTCGTCTTAGTATTTGAAACAATGATTTTTTCTTCTCTCCCTACAGGCTTGGCCTGTCGGGTAGCCCTTTCCTAGCTGGGAGCTTCGACTCTACCGACCTCTAGAAAGCAACCGACAGTTTCCCAACAATTTTTCTTCCTGTTGTTTTTCCTCCCGTAGAGTTATGCTCCTTGAAAAATTTTCTATTGTTGGCTATCCAACAATTTTTTACCGTAAAAGAACTATTGCATATCTGCTGTAGCCGCTGGTTCTCAGAGCTGTCGTCATTTTTCATCCTAAATGTAGTCGGTTCCCCTTTTCTCTACCGACTGTATGGTTTTCAACTATGTTTCAACTTGAGGGAGTGTTAGAAGTTATTTTAGGAAAAAAAATTATTCATGTGAGAAGTTATGATAAATAAATTATTTTCTTGGATTGGATTTATTTCATTTCCTATTTTAGGATTTTTTCTATTTTATGTTGTGTCCTTCATCTCCAAAACAATTAATATGAATTGATTAATTGGAGATATTAGGAGTTATATCTTTCCTTCCTGTCATTTTTTTTTTATTATTGTCTTTCTTATTTTAGGATTCATGTAAGGATTATTTATACCTCCTTTCATGTCAATAAAAAAATTCGACATTATTCTGAATTTCAACAGTTATGTTCTTTATTTTCTTTTTGGTACATTTTCCTAAATACCACCCAATTCCTATGTATTTGCACTTCTAACACGTAAACATTATTTTTATATTTATACCACCCACTTAGTGGGATAAAGGCTCCTTGCTTTTGTCATTGTTGTTGTATACCACCAAATCTTTCATATCACATTAAAAAAAACCATTATTTTAGCATCTAAGAAGTGACGTACAAATTTTCATGCATAGTTTAGGTGACTTACATATGTAAATATTTAAGTTTTATTGTTAGAAATATTAATACATAGGAATTAAGTGTTATGTATGTAAATCTTCTTTTCTTTTATCTCTTTTTCTCCCCCTGCATCAATTTTAGTAGCACAACTTCTTTCATCAACTCTCCTACATCATCCAGAGTATTAATTTTACTTTATTAGTAAAATTTAAGCACCTGAATTATCCATGAAAATTTGGTTTTTTAAGGATTTAAAATCAATTAATAAATGGCCTTTGAAAATACACATTGTTATACTTAAAGGCAACATTTGTTCAGCATAATCACCAGAAAAAACACTAAGCCTCCTCCTTATGTCATCAGCCAAAACAAGCGTATCTGAGTCTTTCACTCATAACTGCTCAGGATTTCCTGTAACAGAAGGATTTCACACTTTGGCTATAAATACCAAAATATTATAATAGACCAGTGATAAACTTTTCCTATATATACAAATATATGCTTTAATTTATGCTGTATTTTCCTATCTACATTTTCTATTGGATTTTAGTAAAGTTCTTATAGTATCAGAGCATGATCCTCCTTCCCTCAGTAAAGCTCATAATAGCCCTATGGCACAACAGATTAGGTCGTCCACATAATGCTATCATCTCCAGTAGTGCAAGATTGCAAACTATACTCCATCATCAACTTCAACATTCCGACTGCACAACCTGCTGTCTCTCCAACAGCACTCGTCTACCGTTTCCCAGATATCAATCCGATAGTAGTTTATAGGGCTGTAAACGAGCCGAGCTTGAGCGAGCTCAAGTTAAGCTTGTGTTCGGCTCTTTCAAAATAGCTCGCGTTCGAAATCAGCTCGTGTTCGAAATTGGCTCGTGAACAGTGTGTTCGTGTTCGGTTCGATTTAAATATTCTTGTTCGTGTTTGGCTCGTGTTCGACTTGAAATTGGCTCGTAAAAATTAATTTGAAAAACATATATGTAAAGTGTGGGATTTGAACATCAACCAAATGTATACAAAAGAAGTTATTAACCACATTACCATATAAGGTGTTATGATTTAAACTTAGATATACATATATATAATATATTATTATATAAATAATTATATATTTTTTTATTTCAAGCTAAAACGAGCTGAACAAGAGCGAACAAAGAGCTGTTCGTGTTCGGCTCGTTTACAATTTGAGCTTTAAAAACTTGTTCTTGTTTGGCTCGTTTACTTAACGATCGAGCCGAACACGAGCTGTTTGCGAACAACGAGCTTTTTTGACAACCCTAGTAGTTTACCTTTACATTTAGTCCACACTGCTGTATGAAGTCCCTCCCCCTCCCTTCTTCATATGGTCATGGATTCTATTTTATTATTTTTTAATGATTATATAAAGTTTATTTGGATATATCCAACGGTGCATAAATTTGAAACACTCTCCCAATTTCTTGAATTTTAAAACATGTTGGAAAAACAATATAACCCTTACATCAAAATCATTCAGTCAGATAGAGGAAGAGAATATCTTACTGTAACTTCTCAACTACCCTAAAACAATGTGGTATAATACATTAGTATACTCGCCCATACACCATTGGGCAAAACGACTCAGTAGAAAGGAAACAGAGACATCTTAAAACCCCTTGCACACTTGTACTTGGCTCCTCCCTTCGACACCTAGTTTGGATTGATGCCCTCCTTACAACCAATTATCTCCTTAATCGTCTACCATCTGCCACCACCAAAATGCTATCCCTATTTCAATTTCTCCACAACAAAGCACCAAATACAATCATTTAAAATTCTTTCACAGCAAATGCCTTCTCTGGCTGCAACTTTATCAACCAAACAAGCTATATGGGGTTTATATAAGCCGAACTTGAGCAACTTGAACATGTGTCGTATTCGACTCATTTATTTATTTTTTTGTTCGAAATTAGCTCCCGAGCAATCTGTTTGTGTTCAGCTTGAAAAAAAATATTCGTGTGCCTTTTCAGCTCTTGTTCAGCTTGAATTGGCCCACTTAAATAAATTAGAAAAATTAATGTAGGGTGCTTGATTCGAATCTGCACCATTTGTATGCAAAAAAAGATGCAAAACCATAAGAACACTAGCTATAGTGATTTAAACTTAAATATAAATATATATATATATATATATATAAATTAAATG